ACAATGGCAGTAAAGCTGCAACCACCTACACATCACAAACACAAGCTGTCCATATGTGTCTGCTAGTGAGCCGTTGTGAATATGCGTGTGCACTGACTGTACTATACTGTTGATTTTCCTGCTGGTAGTATAATTGAGTGGTGCTGTTTATATTACAGCCCACGCTAACTCATAAAGAAGCTGTGAAAACGCTTGCTCTGTTGTAAAGAGCACCGCCATCTGAAGCTGTACAACGTCTGACGCTGACGGGGCGAGCTTCTCATGTGATGATACATATGGCGGCTTCTTTTTCACCATGGCTGTTGAGAAATGCTGCTAAGGCAGGAAGACAGAGACAGAGGAAGAGATAATAACAGCGGTGACAAAGGCAAATAGAGGAGGAAGAGAGAAAGAAAATCGGAATTCGAGCAAGGTCATTTATTCTCTGTAAAGCCTTCGTTATTACAATTTTTTTCCTCTTTTTTTTAAACACAGTAAATAAACGAAATGCATTAAACAGGAATAGAACAGGGAGAGAAAATAGGCTTCCATAATTTGGAGTAAAAGAGGTTGTGTTCAGGGTTTTTACACTCTCTCTCCTTTCTAATCCCCCAGTCAATTTCCTTTTCTCTGTTTCCTTTTATTAATGGAAATCAGGGGTTATTTTGGTATCTGTGGTGGAAACACTTGTCTGAAAGTCACAGTGCTTCAGTAAGAGGTTTCAAAAACCTCTCCAAAACATATACATTCACAGTTTGGATAAGATGCAGTATTTACTGCGATAAAACATAATATTTCACTATTAACACAAGTGTCCTTTTGAATGGTGAGATGTTTTTTTTCCTTTCATGAGGCTGATTTGAAAGGCCAATGACTTTTGTATCCACACCATTCTTTGCATCATTCTTAAGCTTTTTGCTCTGGATTCATTCTTGTTCTTGGATTCAAGGGTTAATTAATGATATAAGAATATAGGACAGAATGTTGAACTAGGGCAGTTGATGCTAAATTAGGCCTTTTATGGACCAAGATATACAGACCCAGATATCTTTATTATTTAGAACCCCCATATAAACAATCAAACTGCCTTACATGAGACAACACCTGAATTAAAACACATAGAATGTGTAGAATGTTTAAGGTTTTGAACAGTGTGATAATGATGGATGGAAACCTGCGCTGTAGTTCAAATTAATGTCACAATAACTCAAACCGCATCTTGCCTATTGCAACATAGATAAACCCTCCTGATCGTTCAGACTTAGCTTCATTTTTCAAGTTATTACATCAAAATGCAAGATTAAACATTCATTTAACCAGCATGTAATTTAAACGGATACACATATTATCTTGTTGTGTATGCTTCAGCTGAGCAGTTCAGGGAAGCATCACTCAACCCCCCCCCCAGCTGAATAGAGACTGATGTGGGTTCAGAACGGACCACAGAGGCCTTGGAGGACCCAACCATCTGGCTTCTTGTGCCTCACTGTTCCAAAGAAGTGAAATATAAACACACATACTGTACAACAGAGGCAGAAGTACAGTTGAAGAAGGATAAATATGGCTGCAATTTCAGTTATACAATGTTCACTTTGGGGACTTATTGAAAAGAAGTAGGACACAAGACAAACAGTAGAGCTTGTCCTGACACCTGGTTATCCCCACTTAGTGCAGCACTGGTCTGTGTGTGTCTGAAGTCATGAGTGGGGCGGACTCTTACCTTTTACTTCATGAAAGGTTCAGCTGATACTCGCTGGATTAAAAGAAATATGACATTTTACATCTTCCTTAAAAAGTAAAAAAGGTTTTCCTCTTTCTTTCCAATTACAGTTGAACTATCCCCAACTGTATCATTTAAGATTGTTTGATACCAGTGCTAATGTGATAATTGTGTTTCGGTAACACACCACAACAACCAAGCTTGGTCACCTTAGACCAAACTTCTAATTTTAAATTGTACTACTATAAGTCTTATATTCAGTAATGCCCGGATACAAAAAGGATTACAGCCTTTCATACATTGTTTTGGTTGTTTTCGGTCCAAATCAGGCAAGTAAAGAGCACCGCTGAGCTGTTGGGGCAACAAGACAGTCACCCAAAATAACGGAGCAATTTGTGCAAATGGTTTTATGTTGTCATTTGGGGGTGGGTTTCCTTTTGCATACTCTTATAGACGAGACAATTAACCGATTGAACTTCATATTAATTAATATTCAGACATCTTGCACCCTTGTGAGCTTTCATTACACGTTATTACCAATAAAGCAATATCTGTCAGATCCAATATCACATTGGTTTAGTGGTTAATCAGACTCTATGTAATGTGAGGAATCCAGCGCCTTTGTCGAAAATCATTTAATCACATACAAAATATTTCTTGTTTATAACAGCAGGGCAGGCAGGAAGCTGAGCCAGGCAGCCCACTGAGGTGTCAGGTGACTTGTACGGTTTAATGGATCAGAAGTGAACTGCAAAGGGCAACCAAATAAACACGTGTTCTGTTATCTGAATGTATGTTTGTTCTGTATCACAAACAATATAGGTTGTTGGTTATGTAGCTATACGAATAGTGTGGTCTTACGACAGCAAGACATTACATTGAGTTGACATTTTAAATGATGATGGGAATTTAGACAGACACTGTGCCATAATGCTGCAAAGCCTTAGGAATTGTTGTGTTCCTGAAAAGCTGTCGTTGTGTTGATCAGATGCAGAGTGGCTTTAGTCTGATGAAGCTGTGGAACAAGCACTGACAATGAGTACTTTTTGGTGCTTTGAGCACTACTAGCAAAGGACCATCTAGTTTCATTATATTTGAAGAAAGACAGTCAAGTCTATGGCCTTTATCTTAAACACTGGGCAACAATTGAGGTGAATAAATATCACTGCATGTTACAACAGACACGATATGTTTATATTTCAAATGTTCTCTTTAAAGCAGCAGTGTAATAATTCATGCTTTATGTGCATACCTAAGACCGTAAGTGTCTGGTGGACTTTTGAATATGCTCCCCCCTGCTGGCCCTATGTGGCATTGTATCTAACGCTATTAACCTTTCCTTAGTTTTAGGGGTACACGATTCAGCATAAATGGGAAAGTAGACAACATGTTTTGCTAAGACTGACATGGCTTTTTGATAAATAAAGAAACAGAAAGAAGAAGGCGTATTTGTGTGAAAAGAGAAACCAGGCAGTTTAAATACATGTTGGACACAGAGACACTGCAGGGTATTTGATACTCATTTGAGGCTGGATGATCACAGCACAGTAGTGAACACTTGTGTCTTAAGTGGTCTGATTGACATGAAAGAAAATTGACAGTTTGTGTGTCTGTCTATGCATTTGTTTTTTGAGGGTGGAGTATTTATCCTTGTGGCCTTTTTGGTTAGGCAGTGGCCATTGCTACAAGGCTAAGTAACTAGTAGCTAGGGTTACTCCCTAGGACCAACTTAAGTTAAGCTTAAACAAGCATCTTGTTGATCAATTGTAATATAATATCTTAAGAGACAATTGCAACAATGTGTTAAATCAGCAATTTTTAAAAAGAAAACACACTTTTGTTGCTACTTTACGAGTTTGTGTACCATGCTATTATCGACAAGCTCATTGTGTGTAATCACTGCTTTATTGGTGTGTTTGTTGTGTCCATGGTCCTTGTGTTACTATCTGATGAATGAGATAGCAAGCATTCAAGATGAGGTTTTTCTAGAGGTGGGTGTCCTTGATGTTCACAACTAATAAATTATACTATGAAGGGACCTTGTCTTGGCTGTTAGTTGAGTCAGCAGTTCAGGCGGAATATTCTACTTTCAACTAGGGAGGCTTCTATAGATTAGTTAGTATTTTTTTTTATCAACACCAAACATTATCACTGATATTTGTATCCATGGCTAATTCCGCACTGCACTACTGGACAGTATCATGTCACCTTTCTGTTGATGCTGGTCCTTCACAATGAAGTTTGGTCTTCTTTAATTGTTTTACACCTGCTATACCCTGATGTGTAAAGGCTTATACACACAACTAAACATAACTTGAGGGGGGAAGGAGCCAACATGACCATTTTAACAAAACTGTTGTTCGACATATTGGGTTACTTCAATCCAGATGTGAAAATATCTATGTATTGTAATCATCTAATGAGATAATGATGAAAAGGTCGTACAATAAGGAAGTGTGTGCCCTGTTAACATCTAACTTTCCCTACACTGGGACTATCTTACAGTAACCACTAACCATCAGGATTAAGTCATAGAAAACATATTTTTGTCCTTTCCTATGATCAATTTGGACAGCAAAGTCATGGAAATGTCTTGCTACTTAGTATGTTGACATTGATCATTTATGTAGTCTATCACTAGTTGAGTGCTATTCCCATTGACATGAAGTCAATGCCCTCTTACTGAGACCCCCATAGTTGCACACAGTGTCTACACGTTGTCCTTCATGTTCACACTGTGGCTCTTGGACTAACGCCAAGTAGTGTGTGTGTCTGCTTGTATGCTCTTGCGTATCTGTTAATAGAGCTTAATGTTTTCTTTTAACCTTTGATGGACTTGTGAAGTGTGCTAATGAACCCCTGCACATGTGGCATCACACACACACACACACACACACACACACACACACACACACACACACACACACACACACACACACACGCACATACACGTCACACACACTGTGAGCTCTTCCTTTCTTGTTGTCACTTCATGTCTTACTCTGTGTGTTTCCCGACTCTGCGGTTTCCAGCTGTGTGATAGCACTGGCCTTCCTTTAGATCCGCTACTGATTGGAAACCGCTTTGAGACCTACTCTTCCTCCTCAGCTGCTCTCACCTTGCCCTCCACCCCTTCCTTTCCATCTGTCTCAAAGATATACAGACCATGTTTGTGTGTGGGTGTGTGTGGGTGTGTGTTAACCAAGGTGCCACCTGCCAGCCAAATCTAATCTCTCTCCCTCTCTCTCTCTCCACCCCCCTCACTACTGTTCTTCCCGCTTGTCCTCTCTCACCCTTTCAGGTCTCAGATGTTAGCCTTTCTTCTGAGCCGTTGACAACATCCCATCTAGCCAGGTGAGTCTCTCAATATCTCCCCCCGCCCTATCGCTTTTGTTTTGTCATCTCATCCTCCACCCCCCACCCTCCTCTCTTTCCTGCATATGCCTTTGGGTTCTGCTGCAAAGATGCTGCGTCACCGTGCCGCTGTCATACCGATACATTTGTAATTTCACAGAAGGACAAACAGATGTAACTCGCTCGACCTACCTGCTTATCCATCTCTCCCTGTCACCTTGTCAGCCTGACTAATGTGGGTTTGCGTGTAACCGTATGTTTGTTTGTATGTTAATATGAATCATTCAAGACACAGAGTATGGGGATTTATATTTTAAATTGGTTTAGTCATTTTTTGTTAAGTGTGTGTATTTATGTGGAAACAGCAGGGTTTATTGGGGGTTTGTGCGTGCATGTGTGTGTGAGACATGAATGTCTAGACACCCCCAGACAGTCATTTTGTTTAGCAGTTTCACTTTCACATGGTTCAGGGGCAGAGTGGAAAGCCACGATATCCTCTCTATTTGAGACACTGTAGATGAATCCTCTTTGTCCAATGTCTGGTCACCTCTGTTAATTAGAAGTGACAAATTATTATTATTATTATTATTAGGGGAAAGTACAAAATAACTTCAGATGTTTTGCCATTTGATCCCTTTGTGTAAAGGAGCAAAATCAGGCTTGGTTAGGGAATAATGACTACGGGTAGACGACTGACATTACCTTATCTATCTAAAGAGGCCATAATCTTCAAATTCCTACTATGCTTGCATCTTGACGGATGCAATTTACACACATTTTCTATGAAGTCAACACATCAGCATCAAACATGTATAATTGGAATCATCTGATTTCACTGTGTACCAACTCTTCATTCACTTATTTGAAAAGGATACAGTTGCAAAAAAAGCATTAGCTTGTATAGGTCATTAAGACTTGGTAAAATAAAAAGAACAAAAACAACCTTGATTGCTCAAGAGTGTCTTTGGAGGAGGTAGGGAAGATAAAAGTCCTTACAATGGTTTTTATAACATTTGATGTCAATTATTGTCCCCCACGCACCTCAACCTACAAGCATTGGCAGCTGCACAACAATATTGTGAATTAGGGCTGCACGATATTGAAAAAAACTGACATTGCGATTTTTTTCCCCCTGCGATATATATTGCGTTTTTTTTAACTATATTTAACCGGATGAAGGTATTGTCCTCCTGTGCCTCGCTCATTTTTTACCAGTGTTTTGATGGTCTGCAAACTAGCGGGGCGGGGCCTGCTGTGATCTGATCAAGAATGATTGTGATTGGTGGTTTGCTGTGCATGCAGAGCCTGCATGTCACTCACTCAAGTACCCCTGACATGAGAGCCGCGCAAGTTTTCCTTTTGTAGCAAGCAGCAAAATAATTGTAACATAACGTGTTTGAGTTAATTCACCTACTTGATGTAGAAAAGTCAGAATCAATATAGATGTTTTTTATTTTAAAGAAAATTCAGATTGAACATAGTAAAAAACTGTAAATTATAGTGTCCGTCCAAAAATTATTTTTTACTTATAGTGAAAACTACCCTTGGATGATGGGTTAGTATACTAAAAGCTTTAGGAATCCAAAGTACAACATATAATAAATACCCTGTATCAAGATTGATGCAAAACAAGTGACATTTGACCTTTTTAGAGAGATTTAGCCAAAAAACCCCACTTCTGGTGTCATTTGGGTGGATCTTCCATATCTCTGGCCCCCCTTGGTCGATTTTGACGAATGAAATCTCTTTATAACCGCTAGAGCAGGGGCGGATCTAGACAAATATTCATGGGGTGGCAAGAGGGTGGCAGGAGATTTTGAGGGGTGGCATCCCCTGATAGAAGTATATGCTGATTTAAATCGCAATCATATCAATCAATTAGGGGTGTAACGGTACACGTACCCGTACTGAAATTATTCGGTACGGGCCCTTCGGTTCGGTACACGTGTGTACCGAACGAATATAGCGTTAAACGTAAAAAATTGAGAACATGAACAACTTTCTGGAAGTAATCTATATCATAGAGCGACCAAGTCATTTCATTGGACGAGAGGCATACTATGAGAGCTGGTCACAGGGATGCGTTCAAATGTAGTCAGTAATTTGAGGAACTGTCGAAATGGCGAACGCAGATAAAGTTGAGCTCGAAAATCCTCCGGCATCATTGAGGTCTCCGGTTTGGGAACATTTTGGTTTCGCAGTTACGTACAAGGATGACGGACAAAGACAGGTGGACCGAACCAAAGCTGTTTGTCGGCATTGTTCAACTAACATTGGTTACGCGGCTGGCAATACATCACACTCATTTGAAAAGGCATCACCCGAATGTGAATATTACCGGTACCAAAAGAAAAAATACTGAAGTGCAAACCCAACTTCCACTACCATGTAAGCCTCCACCACTCGCAAAGAGTTCAGACCGAGCCAAAGCTATTACAAACGCCAAATATCCTTATGTTGCCATGTTAGCAAAGCGCTACCTGGCTGTATCTGCTGCCACTGTCCCTAGAGAGGGTGTTCTCCACAGCAGGAGACATTGTTAGTGCCAGCAGATCTGCCCTTTCAGCAAGCAATATGGACAAGTTCATCTTTCTTTAAACAACATGAAAATACAATGACAAGCAAGTCCTAATGTCAAGCTGGCTGCTTAGGTACTAGTACAGTTCAAATACAGATTATTTCAGTTCATCGAAATGCTGCACCTTAATGTTTATTTTTACTATATTTTGTATTTATTTGAATACATTAGTCACAGTTTAATAATAATTAAAAATATATATTTAATGTTTTGTGATAATTTTTTCTGCTGTACCGAAAACGTACCGAACCGAACCGTGACCTAAAAACCGAGGTACGTACCGAACCGAAATGGTTGTGAACCGTTACACTCCTACAATCAATGTTAACTTGGAAAGCCACAATATTAATATTTTAACTCAATGACATAGGTGATATTATTGTGGCACATCAGTAAAGCCTTACAAGGTGGCAGACGTAATTTAATGAATTTTAACTGAACAATAACTGAATGAATTTGTTTCACTCTTAGACCAGCAGGGGTACCAATCTATGCAGACTGCTGCAATAAGTACATTAATTAACTGTCTCATCGATGTTTGTCTGAATGAATATGATACTATTAACAATCATATTATTCCTATCAGCTGTCAATCACTGTTAATAAATAATAATAATAATAGATTTAATTTGTTAGCGTTTTTACAGGTGCTCAAAGACGCTTTACAGATATAGTGAAGAACTGTTATGATTCACATATTCATTTATTATTGAATAAACTATATTTTTTGGAGGAGTTAATGATGAATGTTCATCAAGATGCTTGCTCACCCTCCTTCAAATTTGAAAAACAAGTAATTATATCATTATTGATATACAGTTACAACCTTGACTTTACATCAGAAAGAACAAACATTAAAGAAGTGACTAACTGCATCAGTTAGGGTTAAAAAACGTGTATTCAGCTAAAACATAAACATCGCTGCAGTTATTATCCAGTGGAAGGTCCTTACCTACTGGCCTAGTTAAATCAAAGTGGTTACTTTCTGTTGGCTGGGCAGTGTAGTTTTACACACCGTCTTATTTTACTTTCTCAGGACTTAAAACTGTTTTTTGGGGGCAGACCTCCTCAAAGAAAAATATATATACACGCATACAAGGTCATCATCAACAGTTTGTTATTCTCATCGAGTCATCCGTGAGCAGAGCATCAAGTTGGCATGTCTATTGTCTATTGTCTAATGCGGCGATTACTATTTTGTTCAGCAAAACGCCTCACAAACTTATTAAGATCAACAGCTGTAGTGCGTTTTGATTCAATGCTGAGTACAGCCAAACTTGACATTCTCTTCTCTGTCATTGTAGACCGCAACTACCTCATTCCTTCAGTACTTGGGTCCGAAAGGCTTCTCGTTTTGCGCCGTTCCCACGTTCAAGTGAATTCGCCACCAATCATATTTCCACTCTCGCGCCAGGACCGGGGGAGGGGTTACATGACGTGCATCTTGTGCTGCATTCACTTACACTGGGACATTAGAGACTTTCTCTCATAAATGTCCGATGACCCACAACTTTTCTTTCAAAACAAAGATGCCAACTGGGGTGGCAGCTGGGGTGGCAAGGCTATTGTTTAGGGTGGCAGTTGCCACCCCATGCCACCCCGGTAGATCCGCCCCTGCGCTAGAGCCAATGGAATCGAGGGGAAGTTCTACACACACCAACACATGAACAAATAAGGAGTGAGAGTGACGCGTAGCCAAAACCGGAAGCTGCATACACTCTGGTGGCTACCATTAGCAGCTAACTTTTGTGCTCCGATTTTTACATAAAAATGGAACTATGGATTATAAACAATTGCTTCAAAGCCACAGATACATTATTAACCTATGGATCAACCGATTCAGCCGCGTTTTTTCTCGTTTTAATGCCATTGAACACGTCTTTTGATCAGATTGACAGCTACGGTGAGACGATCTCCCGTAAAAGCTCCGTAAAGGTACGTGTTGTGATGTCTGTGTTTGCTTCCCCTGTCGCGAGATCGGATCGCTTAGTGATGAATGATACTATACTTAAAAAATCTGTGGAGTCTCAGCTTTAATCGGATATATTGTATGTGCAGTTTTGATAAGTAATAAGGGTATCTTTATTTTGAATTCTGTGCTAAAGTGCGTTAGCATTTTAAAAAAAAAAGAATAAAACCGCACGTCCCTGCGGTGTGAATATCGCGCATCGCGGTTATCGCCATGACACGATATATCATTCAGCCCTATTGTCAATACGAACTCAGTCTTTGTACCATAACTGTTGAGGATCCCTGCTCTAAGCAGCTTCCTCATCACTGACAGTACATCAATGAGACTGCTCATATTTAATTGACTTTTTAGATAGTCCTAACTGACTCACTTGCAGTCTTTCACACTGATGTCTCAATCTACTTTAGATATTGATCATTCAGCTCCTTTGTACCCATATCTGGATCTGGA